GACCTCAAGGCGCCGGACCTCAAGCGGAAGCTCGACAAGCTCCGCGAGGACCACCTCCAGCTCCAGTACGAGCTCGAGCGGTCCGAGAAGATGCTCAAGGTCCAGATGTCCATCAACCGCGACCTGCACCTCGAGCTCGAGGACAAGGGCGCGAAGCAGGGCGGCGAGAAGCGCGACCTCATCGTCAAGCTCGAGGACTACGAGGCGCTCAACGTGAAGCGGCTCCAGCGCATCAACGTGTTGGAGGCGCAGCTCCGCCAGGCGCGCTACGCGACGACGAAGCGCGGCGGCGGAGGGCCGCCGCGCGCGCCCCGGGGCCTCGAGGACGACGCGGCGTCCGTGGCCTCGGAGTCGACGGCGGGCAACGCGCTCCTCATGGAGCTCAAGAGCGGCGAGCTCGCGGCCGACGAGAATTTGGTCGAGGTCTGGATCGTCGGCATGGACCTCGACGACGGCCTCGTGTCGCCGGGCTCGTCGACGTTCGCCGTCGTCGACTTCCTAAACTTCGAGTCCCAGGCGACGCAGTGGCTGCCGGGCACGAAACCCGAGTTCGACTTCGCGACGTCCTACAAGGTCTCCGTCGACGACCTCTTCCTGCGCTACCTGGCGACGGAGAGCCTCGACGTGGAGGTCTGCGAGGCGCAGCAGGCCGACTACGAGCTCGTCGCCAAGTGCGCGGTGCCCCTGGCGCCGCTGCTGGACTCGCGGCCGACGTTGGTGGTGGAGCGGTGCCCTTTGATCGCCGCGCGGTCCGGGCGGAAGTGCGGCACGGCCCACGTCGAGGTCCGCCTCGCGTTGCCCGTCACCGAACTCTACCAGCTCTTCCTCGACCGCCACCCGGCGGAGCGCCAGGCCATCGAGAAGGTCATGCTCGCGCAGCTCGGCGCCGACGCGTCGCCCGACGAATCCAACGACGACGCGGCGGGCAAGCTCGTCAACGAGGTCGAGATCGTCGTCCACTCCGCGTCGGGTCTAAGGGGTCGCGCGGACGACGCGAAGCCGTCGCCCTACGTCCACTACCAGCTCCTCCAGTTCGCCGACAGCTTCACGCCCGTGCAGCGCGCGACGGCGGACCCGACCTTCGAGCACGTGCTCTCCTTCCCGCTCGCGACGACGGCCCAGGCGCTCGCGCTGCTCCGCACGGAGCGGCTGGCGTTCACGGTGCTCGACTTTGTGGACGAGGGCGACGGCGGCGCGGGCGCGGACGACGCGCTCGTCGGGTCCGTCGAGGTCTCGCTCGGCGCTCTGGCCGACGGCGAGAGCGTCTTCGCGACGCTGCCCCTCCAGTCGGACACGGGGCGCGACGCGGGCACGCTCCGCGTCGCCGCGCGGTGGAAGTTCGACTTCAAGACGGCCCGGACGACGTCGGGCGCGACGCTGACGGACGAGGAGCTCGACTGGATCCTGGCGACCTTCTCGCCGCGCAAGGACGGCCAGGTCGACTACCTCGGCTTCCTCCACGAGCTCGACGCGTCGCCGGCGGTCGCGTCCGCGCGGTCGAAGTTGCGCGCGTTCGTCGAGCGGTGCCGCGTCGCGCAGGACCGCGACGCGCGGGACCTGTTCGGCCACCTCGACGTCGAGACCATGGGCGAGGACGACTTCGCCGACGCGCTGGCGGGCATGACCGTGGGCGCGCCGCGCGACGAGCTCTGCGCGTTCTTACGCCACGAGCGCAAGGCGACGTCGGGGCGCTTCGGCACGGAGGAGCTCATCGCGGCCTGCGGGGCGCAGAAGCCCGTGGAGGCCAACGTGCGGTCGAAGCTCCGCGCCCACGTCGCCAAGCTCCGGCGTCTGGGGCGCCCCCTCGCGGGGCCCTTCGAGGACCTGGACGCGGCGCGCGCGGGGCGGCTGCCGCGGCCCCACTTCAAGCAGGCGCTCACGCACCTGGGCCTCGAGCTCGTCGACGAGGCGCCGCGGCGCGGCGAGGAGCCGGCCGTGGACATCGCCCGGCGCCAGGCCGTCGAGCGGCGGCTCGGGTCCGTCATCGAGGACGAGCCCTACGAGGACGATCCGCGGTCGACGGACGACATTTTGCGCGACGTCGACGCGGCGCCGAGCGCCGCCGAGGACGACGCGGCGCGGAAGCAGCGCGAGTTCCACGACCGCGTGCGCGACGCGCGCGAGGAGCGGGAGCGCATCCTGGCCGCGGCGCGCGCGGAGGCGCCGCCGCGGGACGCGGGCGACGAGCCGGGCGGCCTCTTCGACTTCGCGGAGCCGCCCGCGGCCGCGCCGGAGGTCGCCGGCGACGCCGTCGCCGTCGGCCGCGACGGCGGCGACGCCTACCCGGACCGGACCCACGGCGCGGCCGCGGTCGCCGCGGACGCGATGACGCCGCCGCGGCGCGCGTCGCCGCGCCGCGAGGCGTCCGCGCCGGGCTCGCCCGAGGCCGCGAGCCACTACATCACGGCGGACGTCACGGCGGGCGTGCGGCTGCCCGAGGCGCGGCCGCCGACGTCCGGCGCGCCCATCCTCGCCGCGGAGGACGCGCTCGACGCCGCGCGGCGGCGCCTCGAGGGCGTCGCCGCGCCCCCGGACCTGCGGCCGGCCTTCGTCGACTGCGACGCCGCCGGCGCCGGCACCGTGCGCCGCGACGACGCCGCGGCGGTGTTGCGGCGCCGCGCGCGCGAGTACCCGCTCGCGCCCGAGCTCTTGGCCGCGGTGCTCGACCACTTTTCGCGCGGCGACCTCTTCGACTACGGGGCCTTCCTGACCTTCCTCGAGACGGCGCCGGCGCCGCCGTCCGCCGCGGCGCGCGCGGCGGCGCGGATCGTATTCCACGACGGCGCGCTCGCGCGGCTCCGGGCCGCGGACGCGCGCCGCGACGGGTCGTTGCCCGCGGACGCGTTCCGCGACGCGCTCGCGGGCCTCGGCGTGGACCTCGCGGCCGACGAGCTGCGCTGCGTCGCGCGCCTCTT